TATATATATATATACTTCTATATATATATATATATATATACTTCTATATATATATATATATATATATATACATACTTCTATATAGTAGAATTAATGGGAAACTATATAAATGTTTATTCTAGAATGAGTATCGCCCCTTTTGCACGAATTGGCAGCTCTGCGATGGGTCTCAGGAGAAATCTAAATTGCTGGACAGCAGCGATCACGAAGAAGCATAGAAAGACATATGAACGAACATATCCCACAACACTTGTTTTCCCAAATGGTAGCAGTATAGAAATCGACTATTTTGAACCACGAAAGATAATAATATTGCCATTGAATCTGGCTGATTTAACGGAGGAGCAACAAAAGGCCAGACTTGCAATGCGTATACAGAAAACAAAAGTAGTAATAACTGAAGAAATTGAGGACAGCTTCGATGAGAATAGATATCTGAATTTCAAAAAGTGAATATTTTAACATTTCTCTCCAATTTGTATTATACCCGTTATTTATGTATAAGTACAAAATAGTATCTCTTTTGTGCATTTACCAGGAGAGTCTGTTTTGTTCGTATCAATGTTTTCTATATTATTAATTGTTGTACTGGTTTATATGATATGACACAGTGAATGTAAATACTATTATTAAAAACATTTGTGATACCATGAATTGTAGTGATAGCGAAATTTCATGCTATCATCATCCACCAAAATGAATTTCTTTTGATAAAATAAGAAGCATTACATGTAGGACATCAATTTTCTGTAATAATAGCATTATTTTATAAGTAAATGTTTATAATCTCTGTAGCTCAATAACTCAAAGCACAATATGAATAGATGAATAGAAGAAGAATGAAGTTGCATTATCCATCTATTTCGTTACCTTGTGTGTATGTCTCACCAAAATTACAATACCATATAGAAACCGATCAAATCAATATTATGCAGATTGTGTTTTAAATATATATGACATGTAAAAATATCTTTTATAAAATATGGTAAGTAGAATTTTTATCGATTCTCATCGAAAACGACCTTGAACTTGTCTGAAAAAGAAAGTAGACTACATCGCGACAGAGACCGAATCGATTACAGGTTCGAGCCGCTTTCGAATAATATTCCTTTCTCAATGGGCAATAATCGTTCGGATAAACTCGTTTTCACATCCGGATGAGGCGACTGCATAGTTGAACGAGTGAAATTTCTGCATAACGCGCTGTACGTGGATGAATTGATTTGACTCTCAAGGTCGAACGATCTCTTTTCCTATACTCTGGAATAACCAAACACCTCGTATTTTGATCGAAATTCGCGACAAGATTATATATGGAAATCGTTAAGATAGGCTTATGCTGCAATTCTAAGCAGAATCGTAAGTCTCGTAATTTGTTCTCGTAAAATTCGTTAGAACTTATGAGTAGATTTATAAGTCTATGCAATATCATATGTCGTACAAATATCTACGATTTCATGTAATTTACGATATTTACAAGTGATTGTACGACATATGATATTGCATAGACTTATAAATCTACTCATAAGTTCTAACGAATTTTACGAGAACAAATTACGAGACTTACGATTCTGCTTAGAATTGCAGTATTAATCTCTAACGCCTACGATTTTCGACCGTATGCGCACTATGTATAAGGTCGAAAATCGGAGCAACAAGTGTTAAAACTTCTCGTATGAGATTAATATATCACACATGTATCATACCGGTAGTGAATGTGTGTGTGTGTGTGTGTGTTAAATCGCATAATGTCGCGGCTATTATGTCGTGCTCTAATAATCCGACACATTAAAATAACAGGCGTGTTATCTATCGTCACATTTCATTGATGCTTACCGATTCTTTCTTCGGCGTGCAAAGAATCCAGCTTGAATCCTGATCTTGTGCGTACGTGACAAAGACGCGACATTCCTCCACTAATCCTTTACGCAAACGTCCTCTCTCTTGGTAACTATGTGTGCGCGCTCGCGGATGCCTCGCTACGATAAACGTACGATACTTATTTTCGACACTCCCGAAGACGATAATTCACGCACGAGATTACCCTTCGACGAGTGGGATACCAGAAGCCGATTTGAACGCCGGACGGCCATACATTACAAACGTGCAACGTAACGTTCAGCGCTCCCGACGTCGGCTGCTGATATTTGCTTCGACGGTATTTCCATGACGTCTTACAACAAAATACGCGCGACACTTTCGGCACTCCGAGCAACGATCATTCGCGCAAATACACTTTCGGCGAGCCGAAATAGGGGACGACTCCGCGGACACGAGCCGTTGCGACGCGATCTGTCGGTGGAGACCGTTGCGACTGAGATTGAGATATTGAGTTTCTCGAAGTTTGAATACGCACCGCACTTCACTCAATATCTCGAATACTCGATTGCACAAGACGCTCGCGACTCCTCAATCGTAATACATCGTCACGAGATGTAATACAGACACGAGAAACTTATTTTCAGCAATCCCGGCGACAATATCTCGCGTTGACGCTCTCTTTTCGCAAATCGGAGGCGTAAAGGACAGCGATATGATCGCCGAACAACCATAACCCAACAAACGTACGACACTTTGCTCGGTGCTCCTGTATGATCGTTCCGGGATTCTGTTACGATTTTTGACATGATAAACACACGATGCTTATCTTTGGCACTCCTGACGACCGTATATCTCGATAATTCGTACGCGAGACTCACTTTCGGCGAACTGAGATCGCGAGGAATACGGAACGGCACGTCGGGTACGAATCAGCGCGCAGCGTTCTTCCCGTTAATGACTTGAATATGTCGTGACTTTTGAAGTAACACCAACATAGTGCAGCGAATCGCGGGCTCCTAGCGATTCATTTATTTATTAAACAATACAAAAAAAATATAGGCAAAATACTAGAATACTAACATTTTAAATAGCAAAATAAATTATTTTAAAGGTAACGGATTATTAAGTATCTGACTATTACAGTTCAAATGACCTATTGATGTTTAAACAATTCACGTAGTGACGTCGAATTGAGTCCGTACTCTTGAGCAAGTACTCCGTATAGTTTACGTATTTTTATATGTCCGTGACGAATTTTAGACGCGAATAAATATCGGGAGTACCGAATCAAGCGACGAGCGACCGTTTTAGCACACCAATAAAAAGCGAGATTAAATGCGTTGTCTCTCACACAACCTGTGCCTATCGCATTGGTCGAGAATGTGGCGTCGCAACGTACTTCGGTGAGTTTGTTCCTTTTATTCGCATTGTCTGCTCTCGAATAATATTTCGTCGCATCGGAACGATCTCGCCATTCATGCAAAAAATACAGTTTCATGGGGATATATATGCAATATCATTGCGCGTTGCGAGTATATATACGAAATATCTGAATATCAATTCTCACGAATGTCCGAATGTATTCGTGAGAAAGAATATTTCCAAAAGTCTGTCAAAATATTCTCAACAATATTCGATAGAAATTTGAGAAACAGACTGCTCGTGCACCGAGACTTAGAAAAACCTAATTTTTTAGAAGACTATCTTACACACTGCGAAGAAAATATTTGATATTTGGAGCTACAATCGTATAGTGATAGATTTATAGTCGAGAGAAACATTTTTGCAACAAGTGTCACTAGTGTCAGTGACAATAACTTTATGCATGTTGCTGCTACTATTATTCTTTTGTTAGGTCAGTGAAAAATATGGTTGTATGTGTGTGTGTGTGTGTGTGTGTGTGAGGCTGGAAATAATTATAATATTTCAATAACATTAAATAATTCTTTTTTTGGTATATTTCTTGAAAGAATACTTCAAGGGAACCTAAAGCTGACTTTTTTCCGTGTTTGGCGGCGTCAGTCACCGTGTCTTCAGCTTTCCCTGAATATATTTGTGGCTATTTGACGAGTGTATGAAGTTGGCACCCCACTTTTGAAATTTATAATTTTGAAAGATGTTCCAGATTGTTCTGACTTTGTACCACATTGTTCCAAAGAAATTGCTTCATTCGAAACGGTTTTCGAATAAAACAAAAAAAATGATTTTTTGAGCTGGCACCTCATTTTTCGAAAATCGAACATTCTGATACCGCAATAGATTGTTCTAGTTGTTCCAAACCTTGTTCCAAAAGGGCAAATCCGTAAGTTGAATTATAAGTCCAAAAAATGAAAAAAATGTTTTTGACCTGGCACCCCATTTTTTGAAAATAAAGCATTCCGATACCGATATAGATTGTTCTAGTTGTTCCAAACATTGTTCCAAAAGCACAAATCAATAAGTTTAATTATAAGCCCGAAAAATTAAAAAAAAGTTTTTTGACAAACAGTCTATCGGACCAAGAGTAAACTTATACTATCTTTCTTGTTCCAACCGAGA